TGCTTGGAGGTTAGGGAAGTCGTTTCAGAGACATAGGTTCAAGTAGGACGCTGCTTATATTTGATATGTTTGCGGGAGGCATCCGAGGGGGAGTAAGCATATAGTCGCCCCCCCGTGGTTGCGTTGTTGCCTGAAAGGCGTCGCATCAACCCGATTGGGATGCTACGTCATTTTCAAGTGGAATATTACAGGCTAGGGGGATGCTGTAGATGGATTACGGCGTGAGATTATGCCGGGGATGGGAGACGTGTGTTGGCTAGGCAGACGTATTCGGGATGATGGTGGTGCGCCAATGGTGATGGGGGATGGTGGTTTGGGGGGCTGAATAGGCAGAAGGATTGGGGGGGTGAAGAGCAGTGGCTCTCTTTTGACGGAAACTGGCTGCGTTTCAATGAGATTGAAAGGCTTTGTTTTATTTTTGATTTTGTTTTGTATGATACGAACAGTTGTGTATTGCATCACGCCAGCGCAAAGTTGGTGCCGCGATGACGACCAAAGCCGCATTAGGGGGGCGGCAAAACACTAAATTGAGCAGCCACGTCGGACTGTCCCTCCAATACCATCATGATTTTGAAGAATATAATACAATTGGAAGAGACGCCAAGCTCGTCAATGCTCCAGCCAAAAAACGTGGCGCGCGAAAAAGTAGTTTGTGCTGCCGGGTAGGACAGCCACGTTGGGCCATGTAATATGGTGAAGGTGCATGTGGTGGTTGGAATTTCCTCTACTCGCTATGCTAGCACTAGTGTTCTATCACGTGCTGCAACTGCCCTAGTCGGTGCAATATGAATTCGGAGTGCGTAGATACTGTCTTCAATGCTGTTTTTGTCCCCAGGGGTTTTCATCTCAACGGCAACAACAACATTCAAAACCGAGGCATGGCCAGAATAATCAAAACTTGACATGGGTAGAGAATTTCCTCCAGCTACTACTATACCCCGGAACCATCTAGGTACACGGCAAACCTCATTCAACATGGCCTCCGGTGGACCTGGCGGCCCTTGACCCAGACAATCTTGGTGTTGCGGTCATCGCCGTTGTACATCCACTTCGCCACGATATCCTTCCAGTTGCACAAGTCCCATTCAAACAAATCTACATTTCCATGATCCTTATGGTGCCCTTCTTTGTGGTCACCAACGATATGCAACCCCACAAGCTGCGCATCCCAGTCCTTGCCTACTTCAAACCCACCGACTTTATCCTCCAGACCGACCACCTTGGCGCCGCCCCTCGTGGCCAGATACAAGACCTGCGCAACCGAGAGGTTGACCTTTTTGCGTGTCTCCTCATCCGGGGCTTTCATGGCCAGGTGTCTGCTGACGAGCACGGCCTGCCTTGCCGCCTCCAGGATAGACGGACTATATCCACCGCTCATGTCTGTCCCCAGCCCAACGTCGATGTGTCTGTCCCATAACCAGAGTACGCGAGCCTCGCCGCTCCCAAGAGCAGAGTTGCTGCAGGGACAATGGGATACCTTGGACTTGCGTTCACGAATAAGTCTAGCCTCGCCCTCGCTTAAGTGCACAGAGTGTCCAAGAATTGTCTTAGGCGTCAGCAGACCGTACGTATCATATACCTTTGCGTACGATCCCGTATCTGGATACATGTCGGCAACGTCTTTTATCTCGAGCGGATTCTCAGAGATGTGTGTCTGTATCGGCAGATGCAGCTTGCGGTGCATCTCGGACAGCTCATTCATGGCCTCGGGAGTGCAAGACAGCGCAAACCGAGGCGTGAGAATAGGCGAAACAAGATCGTAATCGGGGTCCAGGTCGTCAATAAACTCAATCACCTTCCTGGTTCTGCTGAGAGCCTCCTGGCTCGATGGATCTCGGAGGCACTCAGGACTCAAGTCCCCGTCCCTGTCCATGCACACCCGGCCGATAAACGCCCGTTGACCCAGATGGAAGCAGATCTTGGCCAGCAAATTCGTCGCAGCCACATGGGTAGTGGCGTAGTAGGCGGCCGTGGTGGTGCCGTGGGCCAGAGTCCGCTGTACACACGCCGTGTACACTTGCCGTGCGACCTTCTCGTCGCTGAACCTCTCCTCGCAGGGAAAGACATATGTTTCCAGCCAGTTTATAAGGGTCGATTCGCCAAACACGCCCACAATGGGATACTGAGAGGCGTGGACGTGTGTATCTGGGTCATTTCTGCTTAGAGCGTGTGGAAGAGCGCCTCTGGTCATGGTCTTTTCTTACCTATGAAGCCGGGGAAGAAGAATTGCCCGCGTCTGCAGGAATAAACGTCTACATCGTGCTCGTGCCAGCGTAGACGGCACAGCAGCTGCTTCTTGGCTGTGTGGACATCGGCCGAGTCGTCGTCGATGCCGACAATCTTTCCTCGCTCGTCGACGGCAATTGCTGCGTCGAGAAAGAACTTTAGTTCTTCAGGCGTCTGGCTATGTACAAAGTTTCCCAACATGAGGCTCTTCCTCCTTGACGGCTTTGAAGAGGATTCCATGTTGTCCTTGATTTGCTTTTGCTTTTGAACAGGTAAAGTTCGTCAGAGGACGACCCAATCTCGGTTGTCAGAAGGATTTTTCTTCCGTCTCTTAAATGTAGACGGAGAATACGGAGTAAGAAAGGTAGGATTATTGGTGGTGAGATTGACAAGTTGGACTGGGGGCTTTTATAAATTTTGACTTCGCCGCCGAGGTCGCCTTCTGCAGTGCTGGGCTGGCATTAGACGAGTGCAAGGACGAGTCAGGACACTGCCATGGAGAATGTCTCGGCCAGAATTATCGATGCAACAACTTGGCAACGAATCCGGACCCGGCCAGTCACCGAGAAGAGGTTGGCGAGCGGTCGATCCATTACTAGTACGTGCTCTTTGCATGTTTCACAGGAGGTCACAAAACGGGAAAACGCAGCCAGCCACCGCCCAGCGACTTGCATGCAACCACCACCTCACCATCTGTCCTCTGAACGCGCTGGCCTACTGCTGCTGGATCCCCAGTGCCTGAAAGATGATGTGCTACGGAGTATACTCCGTGAGCGAGTTGTCATACCCTGCCGGATAAGTTCAGCCCACTTTAGTCCTAAGCATTCTTGCGGACCCGTTTTCGATGAGAGTACCGAGCCAGTTTAGTTTGTTGACGCAGTTGCACACATGTCTTGTAGGCTTAGCAACTGAGTAGTGCGTGACTTGGCTGGTATTTTCGTCTGGACCCCAAAATGGTGAATGAGGCGAAAAGATAGAGCTTCTGACTTACCGGAAATATGCCCACGTCCCAGCACGTGGTAGCTGGAAATGCGCCAGGCGGTTCTGGCCAAGACGGCTTATCCTACGAGTAGACCTCACAAAACAGCCCCATGTACTCCTTGCAATTGAATCATCTTTGGCTGGCTGGACTAGTAGTAGTTACGACTCAGTTAGGCGCAGCATGTTGACTAGTGGCGCTGACTCGCAGTGTCTGCCATGCACGTCACTCTTTTGGTGGGTTTGTCGATGCAAATGTAACACACCAAGAAAGCTTGCCAACGTTGACGCCCCCTGACTTGAGCTCGAAATGCTCAACTTTAGTCGGCTCGTTCAGTCGACTTCTTTTTGCGCAACAGAGAATAGAGGTTCGAAATTATGCCAACAGAAGATGTTGCTCTTCAACACCTGCCGTTTCGTCGTAGGAGATTCGAAAACTCCCGACTACCGGTTCTGGAATAACAGTTCCCCACTCTTAGCCGCTACCAAACGACGGCCCGGTCCGTAGCGTCTTTTCTCTTGCGCTTTGGCCGTTATGATTATTGTGGTTATTAACTATTGTTGTTGCGTCAAAATATTATTAGCATCCGACTGTACACAAGAGGACTCTTCTATTTGTTTCAAATCTCTAACAGCATGTAGGGGTCAGCATCTATCACTTAGAAGCACCGGTCGGAATTTTGAACAACACCGCTTTGCCTCCGGGACCTTGCCCAATACCCTTGTCAACACGAAAGTATCCCTTCCGCTCCAACTGAATAATGTCCCCTTCAGTAAGCTCATTGAAAGGGGATCCCACCCATGCGTCCGTTATCGTGGCTGTAACGGTGTTAAGATATTTATCCAAGTCATCCTCATTGGCAAGGCTATTCTTGGTTAAGAGATGGTGGTTAAAGTCCCATAGCTCCGCTCCGATAAACTCTTCACCCTGAAAAGTTAGCTATTGAATCTTCTTTTCTGTCTTCGCAGCGTTTTCTTCAGGATAGAGCTCTAATTGTAGCCTTGTAGTAGTTTGCCTATTTTCAGATTTAACAATCTCGCGAAGAAAGGCATTCCCCACTCATAAGGGTGATTTCTTCTCCTTGCTGTAGCACGACAACATCCACTTGTTTAATATATATTTGGCTCGCGAATAGTACCATATTTGTGCTCAAAGCCAGCATCTTGGGGTGCCTTGGTTGTGGTTCTTGTTGGGGAGTGTCGGGAGCCCCCTTTATAGTAACCAAGTCTGTATTCTCCGTCTCTACAGCCATATGCCTAGGAGCAATCGGATCAACGACTTTCTTATTTATTGTCCATAAAACAGTCTAATACATGGACACGATATTACGACTCGGACCCTGTTTTAACAGAAATTCGCGGAGGGCTTCTATCGTAAGGCCACGGCGAAGAATGAATACCTTGTATATAGGCATTCTTGAGTCGTCCCAGCTATTTGTTTACCTTGTCAGATTTAACTACCTTAGAAAGCTATTTTTTTTTTTTTTGGAATAAAAAGTCTTAATAAAGTTAGTTCTAGTAAAGTTTTATAAATAAATATTATACAAGTTAGGAATATTTAGGAACTAGTAGTATTATTTGTTTCGATCAGAGTATTTCGTAGTTTGCAGAGCATGCTTTACCCCCTCAATAGAGTCAACAAGGGGATAAGCAAAGTCGTAGGTCGGGTAAATATTCCACGTCAAGCCAGTTCTGTGATGAGGCCGTGGTTCAGATTCCCAGGTTGGAAATCGATAGATAATGGGGTCACGCATTGCACCATTTGAGCTATCAAAGGTGATGCGTGCGCGAATGCAATGCCTTTTGCCCAGCGCTGCCCCCATTCGCATTTCTTCAAACATGGCAAGGCTTTCTGCAGGAGGCCGATCTCTCTGGATGCTAGGAAGGCGCTTATATCGATCTTTCTTCTGAATCTCGGGATCCGTGTCATCAGCATACGCCGTGGCAGAGCGTAAGTTAAAGGCACCAATGCGGACCATGTTACGAGCCAAGGTGCTTACCGTCAACGGATAAACAACAGTCACTTAGACTTCCCACCTGGATCCAAGGTCAAAGATACCCGATCACACGGTGCCAGTTTCTGGACACGGACTGCTCGCATAGATATCGAGTTGCCCGACAAGACGCAGAAGGCTTACTTCCTTAAAGTCTCCACCAGCGAATTGGGGTATGAGCATGCTCCGTCATCCCTCGTTTGCTGCGCCCTCTCGAAACCCACGGTAGGGCCCTCAAACCTGTTGCATTACATGCAGATATTTGGTATGGAAACCTGGCTACAAACGCAGCTACAGGGGAGCCAGTGTACTTTGATCCATCGGTCTTCTGGGGTCACAATGAATGTAAGTATCTGACTTCTTACATCCGGTATTGCTAACCGGCAGGACTTATGATGACGCAGATGATGTTGGAAGCATGGATACCCCTCGTTACCGACTGGGCCGGCACTGGATGAGAGAATACCACAAATTCTTCCCAATTTCAGCCCCAGAAGAAGATTACGAGGCTAGAAAGGCCCTTTATGCTATATAAGCTACGAAAAGATCTTGCAACGCGCCGCGGTAGCTAGCTCACCTGTCAAATAGAAATGGACACTTCTGTGCTTCAACGCTTTATCCCGATAACAAAAACTTTCGCAAGATGTAAGACATGTCACACCCTGTTGATGGACCTGTACTAATATGCAGCCACCGCAGGGAAATTGGAGAGATGAGACGACTACTCCAAGTTTACCCACACGGATATCAGGGCGAGTAATGAAGAAAGGGAAAATATGATGAAGCACAGCAGAGAAGAGATGAATGGCATGAGCAATATTGGGCTGTTGCTGGGATGTCTGGGTTAATGTCGACCAGCAAAGAGTTGTTAACCCAAGTGGGGTTGGCCTTCATGTTTGATGGCTACGAAATGTTGAAGTCGTCATAACCATGGATTTATATATGCGCACATTAAAACACGTTTGAATGGAGAAACCAGCGATGAACAAACAGGCTATTGGAGCTGCAAGATGCTGTCACGATGGTTTAGCGACGCCTTGGATTCGAGACGATCAATATTTGAAGACACTCACCACATGATTATGGACCAGCCATCCATACGCTAGAGTCTTGCAGGCTCTGTGCCACCATTTCCAACAAAGGTACGGTGCGTCTCTAGGAGAACAAGAAGTACGACAACGAGACACGAAGCAGATGTGATGACAAGGAACCAGAATATCCCTCTCCAGCCAGGACCAGCGGCAAAGGCGCCGGCAAGGACAGGGCCAAGACTCGGAGCTGTCGTGATTCTATGCCAAAAAAAATATCAGCAAGATAGGTGGAAAGGATTGTCAATAGGGACATAGAGCTGCGAGGTCAAGCAATGATACAATACACACAAAACTGTTCATGGCGAATGAAGGAAACATTCATAACGCTTACCCAAAGGAAAGAGTGGAAACAAATGCACCAGTCTCTTTCACCAGGAGTGGACATGTCGGCGATGACTCCATACGCAACGGAAAAAGTTCCTACCGAGATCCTTTGGCAAGTCGCCTCCTGCCATTTGTAGAGCACCATACTGGTTGGCAGTTCCATTCTGCTTCTCCTCTTGCCAATTACTAGAAAGGGATATCGTAGTCATGATATATGGCTGGATAACTCGTGAGCTCTGTGTTCTACAACAAATCTTTGTTGTAAACCAGCAGATGAGGGGGTCTTTCGCAATGTTCCAATCAATGCCTCCTCTCCGCCGTTGTCAAACCTGAATCTTGTTCCAACTCATCACATGTGCAGAGTACGTCGTACAATGCGTCACACGGAGAACTTGATCCGTTCAATCAACAATGAGAGGGGTCAGTCGGCTGAGAGTACCATGGCCGCCCGCAAGCCTTCGGAAATGTGCTCAAACCAGAGTCTGGCTTTTCTTCTGTTGTGTATATGTATGCATTTTTGCGTCATGACCGGATCGTTGACGCCCTATCTTTCCTTGCATCACACTCTACTCCGTCCCATACCTATCAGCTGTCAGCACTTTCGCCATGTCGCCAGAATACTGGGAGATACAAAACAATCGCAAAGAACACAAGGGCGACATCGAACTTGATCCGAATGTCAAAAAGTGTAAGTCTTGCATAGCGGGCAGAAGTCACTGAAAAACGGAACGGTAACATATGACATATGTAAAGCATTAGAACTCCCCCCGTCGGCTCATTTTCGCTGTGAAGGCCACGGGGCAAGCAACTGGAACACGACAGCTCGAATCGAAGCCGAGGTCGATGGGAACCAACTGTCATACTTTTTGAAGGTGGGCATATCTTGGAAGTATTCCCCTGCTTCATGTAACTTTACAGACGCTGCTTGATCCTAACCCTCGTTTATACTAGCTGGCGGAGGGAAGAGAAGCTCGCTACATGCTTGAAGGGGAGTACGAGTCCTCAAAATTGATCAATAAAGCCATTCCAAATCTCTCTCCAAAACCATTAGCCTGGGGGAAATGCGAGAAGCCCGGGGGCGATTTTGACAAGTACTTCCTCATCTTCACATTCCACTCACTGCTTGAAGACAAACCCAAGCCTAGACCCGACATTCCGCGTTTCGCCGAAGCAGTGGCTCAGCTCCATACCCTTAGCATGAAAGAGTATGCCACGTCGAACCCTGATGAAAAGTTTGGATTCCATGTAACCACCTACAACGGGACGCTTCCGCAGGACAATACTTGGACCAAGTCCTGGAGAGAATTCTACGTTACAGGAATGGAGCGGATGCTGGCACTAGAGGAAGAAGCAAGAGGGCCGAGTGATGAACTGAAGAAGCTTTCAGAACCCTTCCTCAGAAAGGTCATCCCAAGGCTTCTTGATCCCATGGAAACAAATGGCAGAAGCATCAAGCCTGTGCTGCTTCATGGTGATTTGTGGTTAGGAAACGTCTCTTGCCAGAAGGCGTCTGAAAATAACGATCCGCTGTTGTTCGATGCTGCAGCTTTCTGGGGCCACCATGAGTGTCAGTTCCAATTTCGCATTGACTTGCTCCTTTGAACCTCCTTTTCACCTGAAATAAGCGACTTTGTATTGCCCCTTTCGAAATACGGACGCTGATGGTCGTGATTTAGACGAGCTTGCTACTCTGCGTCCCTTGGCAGATGATTGGATCAACGAGTGTTATAGAGCTTACCACGAGCTCGTTCCAAAATCCGACCCCGAGGAAGACTGGGATGCCCGCAATGCCCTCTATGCAACGTCTGTTTGTTTCATTGGAAGCTACGCAATACTTTTGCGACTGACCAGCTTTCTTAGGCGCCTCATCATCCACGACTCGGCAATTTACCCGGATCAACCTCACTTCAGAGAAATGTAGGTCAATTTATGAGTTCACGCTGGACATTTTCTAATCTAGTGGTAGGTTGATTGACGAGATGCGAAAGCTGGTGGAGCGGTTTGCCTCGTGTCATGATGAGCATTGAGAACATGCCATACTCGGCTCGGATAGCACCAATTCATTGTCTTTGACACTCGTTGACAATCTACGGCTGGTGAATTTGTCGTAAAGGATGTGACGACCCGACAACGTAGTTTGGAGCGAGCGAGGGTCCATCTGAGCGTATGAAGCTATCTATAGATCGAGTGGAGATTATCTAATAGTAAAAAAAGGAATTGTCTATCGATATGTGAGGTGGGAGTTGCGACTGAGATGTTGTAGTAGCCTGCTTTATCAGCAATATGCCCGGAAACAATACGACCGATTCCATTGTAGAAAACGACTTGGTTCCTCAGCACATTCTGTCCAACTATATAGTAGGTGAAAAGGTGTGGCCACCTATACATGCCTGCTTTGGTGCATTGGAACACATACTGAACACCAACAGGAACATCGCCATCTCCCAGCATGGCAACGACAAGTTGCACCAGACCCCCAACGCAACTTACAGAACCTGGACGATGACGCTCTCCAGGGTGAGGCGAATGGCATGTGGGCTTACCTTGAGGAGGTTTCCTCCAGTGCCTTTCACATCTGTTCTAGACACTCACACTTGCACTCGCGATGCAAGGAGCTACACAGCACAACTGCGTTACACGGAACCCTGACGCCGGAATCAAGCTCCCAGATGAGGATGTCATTCGGTCGAGATCAAGCGCCGGCTGTCGTGTGGTGCGTCGTCTGCACAGATTGGTGAGACTTGATGCAGTACAGCTGCTGGGATAAACATAACCACTACTAACGGATTGTCTAGGACTATCGCGACTGTCCCTGGGCCTCAAGAAGGAACGTATCCTTTCAACCCGAAGCAGTTCCGCGTAAAATATCCGTTGAACTTGGACGGCGAGGATCATCGGCCAGGTATGGGACCCGTCAAGGGACGACCGGCTCACGAGCCAACATCCACATCATTCTTTATAGAGAAAATCCGCCCTGCGGAGCTGGTCTGCGATGTGTTGGACAGTGTAGAGGAATCGCAAGTCTCAATTCACCCAAGTAGCCACGACCTGGCCATCCAATAGAGCAATCGTTACCACGCATACTGCAGCCATGATCAAGAGGAAGCAGCTAGGCTTTCAACCCTTACAACATGGCGGTTGTTGTTGCCATTGACAAGCTCATTGATGCCTCGGAGACGATAGGAGCGGAGGGAGAGGGGGTGACCAACAGGTAGGTCTGGAGGCAGACAAGGCTATCATAAGAACCGCAGGGCCCGTGTGTAGACCTACGTCCTGTGAAAACGCAAAAGTCCGGGGAATTGATCCAGGCAATATGTTTCTGCCGAACTTTATTAATCAAGACATGGGGGGGGGGGGGTTGTGGGAGGGGCCGTTGAGTGGCATGTCTTCCGAAAATGCGTTGAACGCATTATGTGTGTATCTGCGTCTATCAAGAAAAACTCGCAGTGAGTAGACTGTTTATTCCTCATTGAATAACAATAGACACAGAAGGAATGTGTCAGGCAAACCTAACAGCGCGGGGGATTGCCTCCGAGGCTCTTGGACAAACACGATGCTCATGATTTAGTTTGGGCGATTTTGGGGCTTTCCGATGTGTCGGCCTATACCAGAATCAATATTCATTCAAGAATTTGGGAACCGCTCTTTCAAGTGCGGCTGGCCGGCTTGTCTTGTCATCCTTAGTTACCAACATTCAGCTCAGATTCCTGCCACCAGACAGCTTACTCGAGACTGTTGGTCCTTCTGCGCCGGCGACTACTTGATAGTGCGTGCCATATATTAACCTGCAATGAGCGACATTAAACTAGTCAAGTATTTTGGTCTGTTGCATATATAAGCTGTCGATGCGGCGACTCTCCCCGCCGCACGTCAGCGAGTAGGAAATCCAGGTGCATGTCTGACAGTAACCCGTCACCAATAATAGAAACACATGTCAGAGAGATGGCCTTGTAGTTGAAACCTCAATCGGGCGTCTAGATCGAGTGGATTACTGCACCAAGTTGTTACCGCGGGCACACAGTCGTAGAACGTGGCCACCCGGGCCGGCGTCACGAGGTAAGAAGAGCCCTGCGCGAAACGGGCATCGAACATTGGCATTTCCGATCCGAGAGCCTGATGTTACGCAATGTTGAGACGGAGGCGGTCATGGTGCTAAACTTGGACAACCCTGATACTAGTGTGACGTGTCAGAAGGAGTAGTAGGGGCCTGCTCTGTTTTAGCATGAAAGGCTGTTAGAGTGTCCACTACCCTTTTGGAGTATGAGATAGGTCAATAAGCAAGCGACTTGAGGCATGCGCGAGTCTGAAGAGACGCGGTGATGGTGATGGACCGATTGTTTGCTGGGCATGGTGTCTCCCGAGTCATGAACCATGATGGGTTGCGGGAGGTAAGTGAGCAGAGGCACCCGCCAACAGGTTGTTGTTGATGCATCGCATTACAATCATGCCGTGCTTGAAATTGCATAGATGTTCCGATGTTCCGATGAACCACGCGAAGACACCAGATGGGCTTCGGTTGAGTCTTTTCTCTGACGTTGCGATAAACATTTGCTAGATCAAGCCGCACGTTGTTGATCTGCCGCGTGGCCTTGTCCACACATCAAATCAAGGCGAGGAAGGAGCACACAACGGGACTTGCCTTGTTCATCCCTCATCATTCAACACCGCATACAGTTGTCGATCACACCAGCCTCCCAACCTCGGATTTGGACGAGGTCAAATGCACATACTCAAACATTGGCGTCTTCAATGGCGCCAGAGACGACACCCGCCGCCGCATGCCAATGCCTACACTGTTCCAGTCCATGGCCAATAGAGGCTATCTGGCGCCGAACAGATGGGACGTGGCGTTTTGGTCGATGGGCGAACGCCGAAGTGAAACGAGCATGGCACGAGCTCATGCGGGCCAGCTGGCCGCCATGCTATTATTTACGCGCCGGCCAAGGACTCCAGCTATTCTTGGCAACAGCAACGAGGCTTTCCGGCCCCTAACACCTCGACGGCTTTGTTCCGTCGTACCTCTGCAGCATCCTGATGTCGGCTGTTGGTTTCAAATGTCCTGACACAGCCATGGAAAACGACAGCAATGCGAACAGGTCGGTCATGCTATCAATACACCAAGTTGAACCACTGCTGTTGATGGCTCAGGCGAATGAGCGCTGCGATGACCAATTTTTCGTGGCTCCTTGGGCTTGGCAGCGCGACATTCGCCCGGCTAGCTCTACGCATACCACATCAGTTCTCTGTACTTTGTGCTCTGAGCTCCGTTTTCCGCACTTCTCACGGTCGTCCAACATCTCTTGCCTGCATGGCGTAGGCCGCGCGTCTCGGAAATCAGGGGCTCCATGGGCTGAACCCTGGAACGCCCCGCAGGATCTCACTCTCAATCGTTGACAGTTCCTCAACACGGCATTGTTCTTCCCGTTCCCCTTGTGGCGATGTCTGGTTCATGCCTAGCCTTGGCGGTACTACGAATCTCCATGTTGCGTGGGAATTCTGACCAGGCCAAAAATGGCATCCTTCCAACGAGAGCTACTAATGCATCATGAACCGCTGGCATCAGTCTCCATGGCCTCGGGCATTTCTGTATCAGCTAGTCGTTCGTTCTGATTCCTCATGCTCTGTTGCTCCATCAGCAGGCTTGTATCTAATTACTGTTGTCTCGACAGTCTCACCATTCATTTCTCCAGTGCCGTATCTCAACTCTTTCTAAACCATCACACACATCGCCGCGAGTAGGCGCAGGCCAATTCTTGCCACCAATTGTCCCGAAATAGCCGTCCTATTCGCCAACTTCGACGAACTGTACTGCCCGCTGCATGCCACGGCACAAGGTGGCGTCTTAAAAACACCGACGAGATTACGAATCCCAGGGTCCACTAAGCCGCAATTGCCGACGGCACCATACAAGTTCGGGCATTACTGTACCGCCAGTGTTTTCTTCCGTGAGGCTCGAAGCCAACTTGTAGCCCGGGAAAGAGAGCAGGACAGATCGGTAGAGCGGCAATTTCTTCGTCTCAAACTTGCGTAATCGACGTCGGAACTTTGAGAAGGGGGTCACACACTATTCCATCTTACGACGACGACTTTATACTTGGTGATATTTATTCACCGAGGGAGGCCCACGTATGCCATATGCCACATAATCAATCTATGCAGCATACACATACACCGTCGATATGAATCTCAAAATGAAACTCCTCACCTTCACTGCTCTTCTGCCGTGTGTCCATGGTCTGTCAATACCAGATAGGCAAGATGGATCGCCTCGGGTGCTTGGCTTGCCGCTACATCGCAGTCAGATTCGAGACCCTGTCACACACGATAGGAACAGGATGCGGAAAAGAGATGGCACCGTCAATGCAACAATCGATAACTTGGTACGGTATCCTTTGCAATGAAAAATCATTCGCCAGCGTAACTCACATATTCATAGCAAACCTTGTACTTCCTAAACGCTTCACTAGGAACTCCGCCACAAAATGTACGACTACACATAGACACTGGAAGCAGTGATCTGTGGGTCAACACACGAAGTTCTCAGCTCTGCTCGATGAGGAAAAGGCCTTGCGCCGAGTCTCTCGTGTACACAGCCAATTCTTCGTCAACGTACAAGTATGTCAGCAGTAACTTCAACATCTCCTACGTCGACGGATCAGGTGCAGCAGGAGACTATGTCACAGACACAATAAGCTTCTCCGGGGTGAAATTGTCTTCGCTTCAATTTGGAGTCGGCTATGAGAGCACCTCAGAGCAGAATGTACTAGGGATAGGGTATCCTAGTAACGAGGTTCAAGTAGTGCGATCAGGACTCAAACCGTACGACAACTTGCCAGCCAAGATGGCAGCCGACGGGCTCATCGCATCCAGTGCATACAGTCTGTGGCTGAACGATTTGGATTCCTCAACCGGCGAGGTCCTGTTTGGCGGTGTTGACAGGGATCGGTTTCGGGGGAGCTTGATCAGTTTGCCCATTCAGAAGGTCGGCAATGGTTATAGCGAGTTCTTTATCACCATGACTGGCCTCGATGTCGGGTCCAAAAATGTTGGCAAAAATATGGCATTGGCTGTGCTTCTCGATTCGGGCAGCTCATTAACATACCTGCCCGACTCAATGGTGGAAAGCATTTACGGAATGGTGGAGGCGTCGTACGACCCATCTCAAGGTGCCGCTTTCGTCAAGTGCTCTGTGCAGCAGACAATTGCCTCCATGACGTTCAATTTTAGTTCGCCGGCATCCGTAACTGTGCCTATGAACGAAATGCTCATCAATGTGTCTGACACGGAGGGCGAGCAGCTGATTTTCGGAAACGGCGAACCAGCCTGTCTTTTTGGCATCTTGCCAGCTGGAAAATCGTCTTCTGTCCTGGGCGACACTTTTCTCCGTAGTGCCTACGTGGTCTACGATACAGAAAACAATGAAATTTCTCTAGCGAATACGATATTCAACGCCACGACATCCAACCAGGTTGAAATTAATAGTAAGTCGACCGCACCATTTGCAACCAAAGCCAGCAACCCCATCACAGCGACGTCTGGATTGCCTGGAGGGATCAATTCGAAGGGCAACACTCAGCAGCCAGGCAACGCGGCGAGTAGTCTTGCCCCATCGTTGACGTTACTTTTTGTATGCATGATGGCAAGGGCTCTTATTTGAACCGTGGGCTCTTTCAACACAGCTGATATATACATGCGCTTTATTTGGGGCGTGAGATCTAAATTTAGAGAGGTTGGTGCATTGCGATGGCGTTTCGGCTTGGATATGGCTTATGAGCATGGGACAAGACCAATCGTTAGATAATATGACTACCATATGGCTACGATTTGCAACACATAGTTATGTATAGATTAATAATCTACGTCTCAAAATCCCAAACACAAACACATGTCTCTCACAACAACCTTGTTATGGCCGCCGGATCCTGGTGCCGACTTCCATGCCGGCCGCTCTGCCCCGGGTCCACCCCGCGCCGGCCCCTCACCGGCGGCCAAAGTCGGCAAGTTGTGTGGGGTCTCCGGGCCAGTTAGAATGCGTTCGGCCGGTGCGATGTTTCTTATCTTTAAGACATATACCTGCATGATACTAACCTCGCATCTCATCCCTCCTTGTTTCTTACTATTTCCGACCCGCGAAACAGAACGGCAGCAAAGGCGTTACGCCAGCCTGGCCTGCTGTGAGGTGGGAGTGCATAGACACAGCGCGCGGAGCAGTTGGTCATGGGGACAGATCTGGATGCACCGGTCCCGAACACCAATTCGTCACGGGCATGTCAACTTTTTCGTCGGTATCTATCTGAAACTCTCTTACCACAGGGGAGCATGCCTTGCCACCTCGGACGACAAGACGGACACTCATGCGTGTCAGGAGTGTAATTTAGTGGAGGGCATGTGACGTTTTTCGTAGACGAGGCGAGGTGGATAAAAGTGCAATTCGCGTTTCGCAGATGAATATCATCATTTTGATGAATTTTATATTTTCTCGCCGAGATGGGATTCTCCAGCCGACCTACCCACATGAGTTGGGAATAAAGATACTTTACACAAGACCTCAAGGGTCTCCTTGCCCAGATGCGCCAAAACCGCCCTCCTTTTCCGGTAAACAAACACCACAAAGCCGTAGCTTGCCCCCCCCCCCCCGCGGGACAGCAACCACCGTTAGATGAGAAGACGTGATTTCCATACAATGCGCAGTCATATTCCTTCCTGGCCATGAACGAGAGGACGTCATGGCCCAGACATATCCGCCTGCCACGCCGCAGACTGGTTCCAAGACTCCCAACCCGCCGTTGTTTCATCAATGCCAGCCATTGTGAACAATGCTTCCGTGATGGAGGATGTGAATAGCGTGTCCTGCATAGATTGCATCTGTGCGGCCTGCCACATTTGAGGGACCACTCTTTCCTGGAAGGCCCTTAGATCAAACCTGTTCTCTTCGGGAGTGTTGCCCAGCCCAGGCGGCGAGGTATGACTACTTCCTGATAGAGGATCTGAGCCGGCTACGCGATAAGCCGGCGAAGACGTGGACGAATTCGTGCGGTCTGGCAAGGCGAAAGATGCGTCTCCCAGCGGATTCCGCACATCGACTCCAGGGGCAGCGCTAAACGCGGTTGACCGATTTCCATGGCCTGGCGTCTCATCCGCCTGGCCGTCCATTGCGGTACCCATGAGTCCGACCGAGGGACTTGCACTCGGTGACATCCTCTTTCTCTTGTGTTCCGTTCTGTCTCTTGGTCCGGCGCCGACGTTGCGAGTTACTGCACCGAGAACCGGCTGGAAACAATCGCAATTGATTAGTTCTCGCACGACGGGATCGGCCCCCCCCGACGCTAATGGGGGGATGCCTTTGTCTAGTTTCAAATGGCCTGGTGGAATTTTGCCCTGGGGGTTGTTGAGTGGGAGCCTGCCTGGCAGAACAGGGGTCACTTTGGAATGTTTCGATATCGAACTGCGCGTAATTAATGGAATGTTGGAGTTGTTGGCGCCGCCAAAGATTGAGCGGTACTTTTCCAAGTTTGGAAACTTTAGCACGGATGTGAGCTCGTTTCTTTCAATATCCAAACAGGCTTGATGAAGAAAAGCACAAGTGACTTCGTGGTTCCGACCAATTGCCTCCATTGCCTGGATAATAATTTCAAGATTTGACTTGTCCAACGGTGTGAGACCAGACTGGGGGTTCAACTTGGCCAAGTAGACGTATACCGTTGTAGAGCAGTATAGCGACAATGCACAAAGAGGACTTTTCTGTGAAAGGTGTCAGCGCTGGAGGAAAAAAGAGAAAG